ATCACGCCCCCTAGGAGGCGCGCCCCACAGTTTGAGAAACACTGTCATACAGTAATTCCTAATTATTTTTATAACTCTTCATTATAAAGCTCCTTTGGGATGGTCATGCAAAGAAGGATCTGGAGCAATGGAACCTTGATCAGTTATTTAAATTAGTAATTAAATTTGAGATAAATGAAACATATATATTATATATATTCACCATATTTACATATATTGTTCACCGTTTACAACCATTTAGGAACAAATTAGATTTCGAAGATTTAATATGTTTTCCTGGAATATTTAGAGCGAATAACGGACAATTTTCAATTCAACTCAAGTTAGAAATCTACATAGAGCGTGTCTAGTAAATCGATGCGGGCGAATGTGTAATATCCTTCTTGGATAAGATAAAATCCTTTTACACTGATAAAATAACAGGAGGTTTTAACTCAGGTATATATCAGGGATTTTTTTTTCTTTTTCAACTTTTCCACAAAGTATGGTGAATTTGCAGAGGTGAAAAAAAAATTTAATCAACACCCGTCAGAAACGTGAAGTGATAGATGATTTTTTGGCGAGAACAATTTTTCTCATCCTCCTTTTGTGTTGTTGGCAAGTGCAGTGCTGTAGTGCTTCTTTGTCGGGTGGACGGCTGAAGGTGGAAGAAATATGGACCAGTTTAAGATCTAGGAAGGCCAACCGATATATTAAACAGGCCAGGATCTAAAGAATGCCATTTCGCATTTAGGAAACAAAGTGCAATCCTGATCCGATCTGAAAGGAGGGAGGTAATTTGTTATGCCGTGATCTTGTTCAGTTACTTCTGCTTATCTCGCAGAGTTAAGTAGATTAATTACATTGAACCAGCCGTCCAACTTCGGGCTCAAGTTAATGAAGGAATACAAAATGGAGTTGCTATTTATAAATACGAGCAAAATTATATTCAGTACATTGCTTTTATAAGATTAAGCTTCATATATTTTCAATGTAACGGTTAAAGATAACAAAGAACATTATTCCTCTAACTAAATTTAGTTAATGAACAAACATATTGTACATATTGATGACCTAAAATGATAGCCAGCTTTGAAAAATTACATTTTATTAAAGAGGACAACGAATTAGGCAAATTTATATCAATATTTCATTTTACGGGATTGCTCTGAAATTTTAAATTCAGCTATAAATGGATTACAAATTCATTAATATGAAACACTAAGCATATTAATAAAATATACATATAAACTTTCTTCAACAGTTCTCCGAAATGAAAAACCTGATATTTGTAATCAAAATATTTCAAGATAGTGCATTTTATAACAATTCCAAAAATAAACAAATTTTAAAGCATGAAATATGAGATAATGCTGTAAAAAACAATAGATTTAGGGCCCTTTCACTCAAGTCAACTTGTGCCGCATAGAGTAAAAGAAGCTGACATTCAGGATCAATTTTTAAATAGAAATCGATGAGATCCCCTGACACGTGGATTTGCTGCCTACTGGTGTAGCTTGTACTGAGTATGATATGTATAAAAATTTCTTGGGTGTCCCAAAAAAGGGTCCCTAAGGGTCAACTAGTAGCTTGGGGCGTATCATTGATACGGCGGTAACTACGCCCCTGTTACTGTCCCACCTCCGGGAAATCACGTTCTCTTCCCTAATAGTTGACTCAACTAAAAGGATGTTGTGGAAGCTACGCTCTTCATACGCGGCAATTTGTTTATTGGAAATGGAGAAAGCTTTATAGTGATCCTTCGGACTCAATCATTGTACCGATGAGATTGCGAACTTCACCACGACATAATCTTTTCAGTCAACTTTGTGTCTGTGTATGAAAGTATTTCTCTCCCCTCTTCACATCAGAGGAATATGTTGACAAGAATTGAGTTGACTAGCCGAAAGTGGCCTCGTGTGGAACCAGCCTTCAGTCCTTTCGCTCACAAAAAATATTCTCCCATTTAGGTAATTTTTTCAATACCCCCAGAAATGTCTTATTCGCACATTGAAAAACTAAACTAAAATCAGTTATCTGTATAACTTTGTTGTTGCTAATGCCACCTAGTCAGCAGTGCCAGAACGAAACCCACAAAATTCATCAAGACAAAGGACTAGATTATATGTTTTTCGTTAGCCGTAGCTTTGTGTACCATAAATGGGGCAGTAATATTTGGCTCGTTTCCTCCACAATTTTTAGAGAGAACGTCTTGGGGGTAGTCAGAGGCCTTTCACCTTCATTCCCCGTCCATCAACTCACAAGAGGTCCTGCAGCTCAGCGGCTATTTAGAATACGCCCATGCACCTTCTCCGGGATTCGAACCCTAGCACTACGGCACAGAAATCAGTTACTAACCACTATACCAATTTAGACAGCATTAAGATGGTTGTAGTTTTTTTCGGCTGTTTTAAATACATATTCTTTAAACGCATTAAATTACATGAATGAAAAATAAGAATCTCATTCATTAGATATAATAATATAGATGCTATATATATAAATTTTAAATGAAACTCTGCTATCAGCACTAAGAATTTTCCCTAAAAAACAATTGCATAAACACAATAAAATCTGCGCTCAATAGTCCTTAAAAAATAAACACAGGATTGAGGGAACGCTATTTAACTACCATTCATTTCATTGACTACTTAAACACTTTTCATCCATTACTAAAACTGATATCGATAATGAAACATATAAAAATCTTCAATATCATTAGAAATAAAAATTTCTACGGGAAGAAATTAAATTTTTTTACGTTCCAATACCCCATTTTAAAACTCTTATTTTTTCTTCCAAATTTTAATAAATTAATTTTTCATGTCCTGAGCGATCTTCCACAATTTATCAAAGGAAAAAAAAAGAACGTTATTAACGCAATAAAATTTTTAAACATCCATCAGGATTCTTGGACGTGTGAAAAAAGCCCCATCCACTTGAATGTAGTGCTAATGGCTTTTCAAACAATAATCCAGAGCTTAGTAGCCACGATGCATGTCACTTAGTGAAACATTACGGATTATGTAGTTTAGGTTTTCTACGCTATTTTGGCTCTTCCAGGATTTTACCGACTAATGTTTCCCCAGACATTGCTAAAATAATGAGATTACTCCATGTTTGAGTCGTTGGGCAAGGTGCCAAAAAATTGTCACACGTAAATGAACTGGGCTAGATCCCAAATTTCAGAAATCATTTCATAATTTACGACTGATAGCGTTCTGGAAAGTGGTGGATCAGATTTGCCTATTATTTGATGAGTAAATTTAAAGTTTTAGGAAAGATTTATTTGGAATAAAATTTACGCTTTTAAACAGGAAATTGGATTTACAAAATAAATTGAGATCGTAAATAAAATCAGTGTGCTGAATAAAAAAAAATAATGGTATCCATTTTTTTCTAATGCAAATCCGGAATTTCAGACATTTCATAATTTACGACTGACAGCGTTCTAGAAAGTTGTGGATCATATTTGTCATTATTTTATGTGTGAATTTAAGGTTTTAAAAAGATTTATTTAGAATAAAATTTTTGCTTTTAAACGGGAAATTGGGTTTACTGAATACATCGAAATTTAAATAGAACAAGTATGCTGAATAAAAAAAAATGTCATCCATTTTTTCTTTTGCATAACACGCTTTCATAATTACCTTCATTATATGCATTTATTTTACAAAACTAAGATAAAAATAAAATCCTTAATTATTCGGATTTAACTTTAATTGCTAAATGAAATGGAGCTATTAAAATACCGGCATAAAATTCCCCTTTTAATTGTAGTATAAATCAGCAAATGGTGAATCTCTTAACTCAATTGCGGGATTGCATTAAACTTGTATGTATGGTATTTTCAGCAGCTCAATTCTTGCAATCTAATTGGAATTTATTTTACTTGTTTTATTTATTTGTTATGTTGTAATTAGTGTAATAGTAATCTGAGTTATCAATTTTTTAATAAAATTCTAAATTTTTTGTAAACAACGTTTGTAAATGAGAAATTAGAAAAATATTTTTGAAATAAAAAAAAAAAATTATTAAATGGTAAAAAAAGCTCAATATACATAAAGTTTCCGAAAATGTATGATTTTATAAAAGTGAAGAATTCAAGCATAAACGCATTCACATAGATTAAAAAATACGAATAATGTAATGATTTAAATTTCCACTACATTGAATTGTATTGGAAAGTATGGATAATTATTCCCATGTATTATATAAATTTAAATAACATCATAACTGTGTAACCTTTCTGAAATGAATGAATATTTTTCACATGCTTTTATTATAATTAACAGAAAATATTTTAAAAATAGTAATTTGTCAACTCTAGTGAAGTTTTACGTGATTTAGTAGTATTATTATTAGTAGTATTTTTATTTCTTCTTGATTTTCATTTCATTAGATACCTTACATATATCTAAATTAGTTACTACAATTACCTGTAAAATAAAGGATATATTTATATAAAGCAAAGACGTACGACATTAAAAATACACAAACAAATACATTCCTAATGGAGTATATTAGAGACGTATTAGAAAACTAAAAAAAATCAAATTTTTCACTTCGAATTTTTTTGTAAAAGATGAAAAGAAAATACATAAAAATTACATCTACCATAGTTATTTCATTAGTCCAACAAAAAATGGTAACTTACCAAATTAATGAAATGCTAAGGACGCTTTTCATTTGATTCCTCCCCCTTCCCTCTTTACACACACACACGCATGGCTCCACACAAACGCAAACTGGTATATTTCAATTCCTACTATTAGTTCTCACTCTCTCTATATATATTTATTTATACATACATACATAATCATATTCAAATTTTCAATTCTTTATAAAATACTTTTTATTCATCCACTCATGTTCAAACACATTGTGTTAAATTTGTAGTGGATGACACTTGATGTTAATACAATTTTTTCAAACAATAGTTCATTAATTAAATTTAATTAATGAATAAATGATAAACAAAAATAATAGTCCAACAGCATATATAGAAAGGAAAATCGTTCGTTGCGCAATGGATAGCACATTGGACTTCTAATCCAAAGGTCATGAGTTCGAATCCCAACTGGCAGGGCTTAGTTTCTGAGAATGTATGATTTCTTTTTTCCTATACTATTTTATTAGAATAATTAAATTTAATGAATGAACAAATAATAACAAACAAATAAAACATAACATCCTATATAGAAGGGAAAATAGAAAATTGCAAGGAAAATTGCTTTCTATTTTGTCACTTAAATAGTGTGATTCTGTCAAAGGTATATACATATTTTTTATATTAACTCTAACTATTTATAAAAGAAAAAAATAAAATTTTTTTTTTGTTGACCTAAAATAGGAAGATTTAATTTTTTATATATTTGTTCATTTATTCCCATATTGATTGTTGAGAAAATAATTATAATATAAAATAATTTTTAAAATTAATAAATTATAATATATAAAAATAAAAAAATTTTATTACAATGTGGGTTTAAATACTTATTTCTTTTTATTTATTTCCTTATTTTACCCTTATACAAAAAGTATCCCTTTATTTGATTTCTATTTATTTGATAAATAGTCCTTGTGGTTAAAAAATTTCAACAGAAAGGGCTTAAAAATGATCTTACTTGTTTTTAGTTATATCGCTAGATATAGACAGAGTTGATCATTAAAGATAAAATAACCAAACAAGCATTGGAAACTTAAAAATATGGACTCTGCAGTATTACAAACAATTGTGGCTGAGGACAGCTTTTAAATTTTTACAAAAGAGGAGCCAGCTTTCCAGCCTTTCCTGTTTGTAATACTGAGTGAAAATAAAGGATAGAGTTTTAAATTCATTATATGTATATACGTAATACTTTGGCTTAACCTAAGGCATTTTTAAATCTTAATATGGCATTTTGTTCGATGGACTAAATGAATTTCAAGCAGTTATTAAGGAATGAGTATACTTGGTACTTCTAAGACCATATTTCGTAACGTAGAACACAAACGCACACACATATAAAACACACAAAGCAAGACTGGTTTACATGGCGTTCACAAACGAAGCCTCCTTTTGCTCCAGAGATCTCGTCCATTTATATTTATGGTCACAACCGGAAGCTATTAAATTCATATGATTTCCGATAAAAGTTTTTCATATTCGTCCACATACAAGGGTTATATAAGATTGCATCGTCCTGTTCTAAAAACAATGAAGTTTCAGTTTTGGGAGGTAAGGTTAAGGTTGTATTCCGCAAAGGGTATGAATTTGAAATTAATTATCAAGCAAAATCTTGAAGTGCTCAATACTGTTATGCATTAAACTCCCTTAAAAGAAAATTTACGTAGATTATTATATCACATATAAATAAATTTTATATCAATATTTTGAGTTTTTACGACTATTCGAAACGTGATTTTGCAAAAGCGTTAAATGGAATATTTATGATATTTAGTGTCATTTAGGTTAGAAATGTATATAAAATTGTTTTAAGAATAGTATTTAAAAAAAAATTATTTAAGTAAATATTTTGGCAAAAATGAACATAGAATGACCCATTTTCAAAATAGCCTCCTTTGTGAAAAATGCTTCTATTATAATAATATTTTGCCTGTAATAGCTCAGACCTCCGTCCAGGTGCTTCAATAGAATTTTGACATATATTCCTTAAAAGTGGGTTTATCCAGGTTTTACGACAACAGAGGGGAGAAATTTTAAGAAAAAAACGCCGATAATTATTTCAAATGGTTGTAACTCTGTAAATAATGAGAATTTTTCAAAAATCATAGTTGAGCCTTTGTAGAGAGGTCTGAGCTATATACAGGCAAAATATTATTATAATAGAAGCATTTTTCTCAAAAGGAGAACATTTTGAAAAAAATTTTATTCTAAGTTAATTTTTAGCCGAAATATTGTATTTAAATAATTTTTTTTGTCAAAATGTCCTTAAAACAATTTTATACATGTATTCTAATCTAAGACACTAAATATCATGAAAATTATCCATTTATTCGCCTTTTAAAATCACGCCCGAAATAGGATGTGTATATATAGTGTATATATAGACTTTCTTTTTTTCTTATCA